TATACTATAGGCCAGTTATTGTGGCTTTGTTCGAGCCCCTCAGGGACTGTACAGGTTTATGGTTTGGGGTTTTAGGGTTTAGCGGTTACGGCTTAGGGTTTATGGCTGAGGGTTTTAGGGGTTAGGGGTTAAGGCTTTGGGTTCTAGCGTTCCGGGCATTGGGTTTTAGGGTTTAGGGCTTAGGGCTTTAGCGTGTCGGACGTAGGGTTTTAGGGTTTAGGGATATTGGTTTAAAGGCTTAGGGTTTGTAAACTTTTAGCTCTTAGGGCGCTTAGGTTTTCGGGTTTAGGGCTCAGGGTTTATGGTTTATAAGGCTTAAGGCTCAGGGTTTCGGGGTTTAGGGCCAAGAGTTTTAGGGGTTGAGGCTGTAGGTTTTAAGGTTAAGGGTTTCGATCAGGCTTATAAGGTGTAAGATAGTTTATGGCGCAGTTTCAGGATTGGGTTTATATGCGTTTGGGGGCTTGTACGGTGTATAGGTTCTAGGATTTCAAGGGCCTGGGGTTTAAGTGATCTAGAATTTTTTGGGGTGGACTCAGGAACTTACTGCTAGTAGGGTGGCTCGATGGGGTTTTATCGTATTCAAATCTCAAAATATTTTCCAGGATGTGTATCGGATCTTGTGGTTCTTCTTATCGTCGAGGTGGTTTGAAATGTCAGGCTGCAGATGTGGTTTGATTGGGTCTCAGTGTGCAGGGCGCACAGGACGTTCACACATGGCGCGTACAAGGGTTTAGTAAGAGCCTTATAGAAATTTGAGATTTTGCAGCCCATTGTTTCTGTTAGGTATTGCATCCTCTGCATTTCGTGGGTGAGGATGGACCTAAACCACTCTAAGACCCTGAACCGTAAACCCTAAAACCCTGCGTGTGATGAGGCTTTGAGTCAGAATAGCTGCTAGCTTGCGCAGATGTTTGAGCGTCCTGCTGCGGCTGCCAAGGGTCTTCTGCCGGTAGTGAAAATGTTAATGCAGCAGCCTTAATAGTCAGAATAGGGTTTGGCGGTGTGTGATACTGGTTTAGCACCTGAGAATCTGGGCCTCACAATGGTTTAGCAGATAGCACCTGAGAGTCTGGATTCGTGAGCAGTTGTTGCATGGCTCTGCAGAGTTTTCCCGGAACGGGTCATGAATCACAATGCAGCCGGCTGGCGCAAGAAATGCCGCTAGCACTGTGGGAGAATCCATCTTTCCTGAACCCAAGGATGATTTCCCAAAACACTCAGGCCTGAGGCGGCCTGAGGGCCCGATAAACATGTGGCTTCCCCTGCCTCGTGGAAAAGACGAACCCAGTCCAGGTTTTCTATGAAGCTGCCTGCCTTCTGTCAGTCGATGCAAAGCTCAGGGCCTTTCGGGTTTAGGGTTTAAGGCATGTAGGGTTTGTGTAGTTTGAGGTCAACAGGCGCAAGTGTAGACGTATGAATCAAGGTTACGACAATGCTTGCAGAGTTTCGGCTTAAGCTTCTTGCACTGTCCACGAGCGAAGATGGCGATTACTGTCGTAGTTGGACTGCTCAGCGGCATGACGGCTAAAGTGAAAGCAGGTTTGGACGAAGAGGTTGTCGCATTGAAACTGAGGGCCCAGACTTCGCTTGGAGTTGGAGGAGGGAGACTGTTGGATTTATCTGGGAACCTTCTGCATGCATCCGCCCTGATCAGGACAACCGGGTTGCAGGATGGAGATTCGTTGATTTGGCACCAAGGTGTGGTTCAAGTACAAGCAGGTTTCACATCGCGCTGTTTTGCTGCCATCTTTGGTGATGGATCCGTCGTCGCCTGGGGTGTATCTCGCTCTGGTGGGAACAGTAGAGCTATTCAGGAGCAGCTGAAGAATGTGCAGCAAATCCAATCCTCCCGCAGCGCGTTTGCTGCCATTCTTGGCGATGGATCTGTAGTGACCTGGGGTGTTGCTCGGTATGGCGGCAACAGTAGCGCTGTGCAGGGGCAGCTAAAGAATGTGCAGCAGATCCAAGCCTCTACTGGCGCTTTTGCTGCCATTCTTGGCGATGGGTCTGTAGTGACCTGGGGTGATGCTCGGCATGGCGGCAACTGTGCTGCTGTGCCGGGACAGCTAAAGAATGTGCAGCAGATTCAAGCCACTAACAGCTCTTTTGCTGCCATCCTGAGTGATGGATCCGTCGTGACCTGGGGCAATCCTGCTCATGGCGGGGACAGTGGTGCTGTGCAGGAGCAGCTGAAGACTGTGCAGCAGATTCAAGCTACTAACAGTGCTCTTGCTGCCATTCTGGGTGATGGATCCGTCGTGACCTGGGGTAATCCTGCTCATGGCGGGGACAGTTTGTGCTGTGCAGGAGCAGCTGAAGACCGTGCAGCAGATTCAAGCCACTAACAGCGCTTTTGCTGCCATTCTGGGTGATGGATCTGTCGTGACCTGGGGTAATCCTGCTCATGGCGGCGACAGTGGTGCTGTGCAGGAGCAGCTGCAGATCCAAGCCTCTCATTCCGCGCTTGCTGCCGTTCTTGGTGATGGATCCGTCGTGACCTGGGGTAATCCTGCTCATGGCGGCGACAGTGGTGCTGTGCAGGAGCAGCTGAAGAATGTGCAGCAGATCCAAGCCTCTCATTTCGCGCTTGCTGCCATTCTTGGCGATGGGTCTGTAGTGACCTGGGGTGTATCTCGCTCTGGTGGTAACAGTAGAGCTGTGCAGGGGCAGCTAAAGAATGTGCAGCAGATCCAAGCCTCTGCTGGCGCTTTTGCTGCCATTCTTGGCGACGGGTCTGTAGTGACCTGGGGTGAAGTTCAGAATCGTGGCAACAGTAGTGTTGTGCAGGATCAGCTGAAACATGTGCAGCAGATCCATGCCAATTTTATCGCGTTTGCTGTCATTTTCGGCGATGGATCTGTCGTCGCCTAGGGTGATGAATCACCGCGGTGGTGCTAGTAGTATATGTGCAATACCAGCTGAACAATGCGGTAGCTCCAAGCCTCTGGCTCTCTGATGCTGTTTGTCGTGCGAAGTGAAAGCGGTTTCAGGTTATGCCCACACGTGTACTGTCAGTAGTGGTCGGTAGTGCTGCACGACCTGTTGCATGTCTGCTTGTAACTAGGTTTATAAACCAGGCAACTATGCCTGGTAAGTATTCACGACGGCCGATGATCCTGCAATCAACCTTTAGCATGTGGGGCCTGTGGTCTGCAAGAATAGACTGTAGTTATGTACTGGGATCATGATTCAGACTAATACACAGAACTACACTACAAAAATATCCGAGACTAACATACCATAGTAATGTACCATCATGTACCGTAAGAGACCCTAAACCCTAACCTTAACCCCCTAAACCCTCAACAGTAAACCTTAAACCCCTATTCCTTAAACCCCTAAACCCTAAACCTTAAGTCCCTAAGCCCTATTCCTTAAACCCCTAAACCCTAAACCTTAAATCCCTGAACCCTAAACCTTAAACCCCTGAACCCTAAACCCTAAACCCGGTAAGCCCCAAACCCGAAACACTGACAAGAATAGCTCCTGAGGCGCTCAGCAGTCCAAGCGAAACGGTCCCTGGCCTCTCTCTCAGACCCGGAAAGGACGGGGCTTAGGGTGTGAAGGGTTGCTTCAAGGGCTCTTCTTTTACATCAAAGGTTCTATTCTGGAGCTTCGAGTTTAGGGTTTGTGGGTTTAAGCGTTTAGGGGTTAGGGCTTTTTTGTGAGTGTCAAGGGTATGTTGACGGTTTCAGGGTTCCAGTTCCAGGGTTTATGATTTCCGGGTTTCAGGATTCAGCATTTAAGTTTGCTTCAGAGACAGATCGTCTGATACAGCGGCCGCAATGTGTATATAAATCTTTGTATGTATGTTAGTAAGTATGTGTGCATGCATATATATACACACACATATATACATGCATGTATGTATGTTTGTCGGTCTGTATGTATGCATGTATGTATGAATGTATGCGTGCGTGCATATATATATATATATATATATATATATATATATTTATCCATATATGTATTCCGAGTTTGCTTGGAGGCAGCATGCTTCGTCATGGCCATGGCGAGATTGTACTGACGAGCCTGAGTAACCTGTTATAGCTATGTAAGCATATAAAACCAGACGCACATATTCGCATGTGCACATCTGTATGTTTTCTATGTATGTGTACATATGTTTGTATATACAAGCAAAGCATATGCATAACATGTTCTATCGTCAAGGTGTCCCTCGGGTTTCCGTTGACTCGCCGAGCCGGGAAGCTCGCAACCAAAAACCTAAACTTTGGTGCTTCAAAGGAATATAGACCTAAATAAATACTAACTCTATTTTGGGGTTCCTTATTATAATTGTAGTACGATGGGCGCCAAAAGCCTATTCTAGTTATTGAGGCCCCTACATCATGTACCCAACTGTAGCCTATCCATCCCGAACCCCTGAACCGTAAACCTATCGTCCCAAGCTCTGATTTCCTTCAAAACTTCAATCCACAGAGACCAGACCAATGCATCCTCCAACGCCTAAAACCGTAAAGCTGTACCGCTCTAGGCTGTCAGGATTAGAAGTTTAGGGTTTGGGAGTTCAGGAATTTAGGGTTAAGTCCACACAATGTGGCTTTGAGGCCCGGGCGAAGAGTGGCGCCCTGGATGGACACAGCTAGGGCAGGACTCCCCGAGGCAGCGCGTCGGGGTGTGTCGAGGATTAGAGAGATTGGGGTTTAGGCTGCTCGGGGTTTGGATTTAGTGCTTCTAGGGTTTAAAGGTGTAGCGTTCAAGGGTGAAGGGTAGAGCTGCCGTGAGGAATCCAGGCAACGTGCAGAGAACCTGCAGCAATCCGCTTTGGAAGCACCGTATTCCTACCAGGGTCCAAGAACTTAGCAATAATATACCCTCCAGTTACTAACTTCAAGCATAAACACCAAGCCCAAATACCTAATTGCGCGGTAATTGCCGTGTGCTCTTCGGTTATGGTAGAAGTCCGGGCAACCCACCCGTCCAAACCCATCAGGAACCCCGGTCAGCCCGAACGGAACCCTCGTTCTGCAACTTGCATTACATATCAGCTAGTCGAACTACTCTCGTTTTAATCGGTTATCTGTTTTCTATGTTATACACTGACACTACCATATGAGAGAGTAGAGCCACTTTCTATTATCTGCTTTCTATGTTATACAGTTTACTTGCCGTTGGTTAGTAGGGAATGGAGGAATGGGGTACAATTATAGCCATTCTTCCATGCCCTACTAACCAAAGGCAAGTTTATGCAACTTCACACACCCCAAGGGGTCAAAATAGCCCAAAAGCCTTATATAGTATGGTCTTTGGGCCCAAAAGCCTTAATATACGAGTCCTTAAATCCCTAGAACCTATAGATCCCTTGAAGGGGCCCCTTATCGATCCCTCTAGAGGAACCCTGTATGAGTCCTTGGATCCCTAGGACACCTTCGTCCTGAAACCTGCAAGCTCCAGGCATTTGCCGCTCCGAACCTGACACCCTCCCAAACCCGTCTCCCTGATAGCTTTTAGGGTTCAGGGTTTAGGGGTTTGGGGTTTGGGGTTTACGGGTTTAAGGTTTAGGGTTTAGGGGTTTAGGGGTTAAGGGTTTAGGGGTTTAGAGTTTTAGGGGTTTAGGGTTTAGGGGTTTAGAGTTAGGGGTTTAGGGTTTAGGGTTTACCCTTATAGCTGAATGAAGACTGGCAAAGGAGGCGTGCATCCTTTGCATATACCCTGGCCCTAGAACAGTCAAAACGTCTAGGCACAACAGAGTCCTTAAACAAAATAAACCTTACCTTCAAAGGGCAATTGTCAACCGAAAGCAACCCACAAACCTAAAACAAAATTAAGCACAACCCCGAAAGCGCTTTCTTATCAATGACATCCCTCCACCATGTGATACAAAACCCCAAAGGCTCCATGTACCTTTATGTAGATACTTAAGCCCTAAAGGGTTACATTAAGGCTTAAGTAGCTACTATATGGGTAGAAGGAGCCTTAGGGAACAACCTAAACCCAAACCCTAAACCCTAAACCCCTAAACCGAAGATTCTGCAAGCAAACTTAGGGACTCCCAAAAAGCACATGAGCGAAAGAAATGGGCATCTCATAGACAGTCATAAGCCCTAGACCGTAAATCCTAAAACCCTAAACCTTAAACCCCAATCACCCTAAATCCCAAACCCCTAAACCCGAACCTAACAAAATCCCGAACACCCCTTGCTTCCGAGTCTTGGCCCGATGGCAACGACTTCGCCCGAGGTCCCTGCCAGGGCTGGGACGCACAGGTTTGGGGTTTCGGCGTTGAGGGCTTGGGTTTGGGGTTGAGGGTTTAGGGTGTCGAGGTTGAGGGTGTTCAGAGGTATTAGTCTATAATAAGGGTTCGGAAGGTATAGTTAGAATTAGTGGCTTGAGTTTTGGGCTTGTAGGATGTTGCTTGAGTGGGGCTCTACAGTCTGCAGGGGTCGTACCGGACCTTGCAAGGGTGTGATAAGGGCTTATCGAGGTTTCAGGGTATGGGAGTTGGTTATGGCCTGGGTGTGAGGGAATTGAATTTGTGTGTCGGATCACTAGAGTTTACAGTGTTGATACGGTTTTGTGGATTGTGTGGTTCAGCTTCCAAGGTTCGGGTTTTCCGGATCAGGGTAAGGGTGTGCTTTTTTGGCTCATTGCGGGCTTCGGAGTTCGGGACTACAGCTACTGGATTCTTGTTACTAGTAAGGAACTTACTTCAAGCTTCAATCATAGATGAAGTTCCTAAGAAGAAAGAAGCTGTGGGAATTGGGGTTTAGGGAGGTACAGCGCAGGTAGTTGTTGCGGCGCTGCAGGTACTACACTATGAGCCGCCGTCCGCATGGATTAGTGCATCTGTGTGATTGTAATTTACGCATACTTGCATAAACAGACTCTGTGTAGATCTAGTGATCTAGATGCACATAACTTGTGCGCATATATACGTGATACGCATGTATATGTGTATGTTTGTTTGTTTGGATGTAAGTATACATGGGGCTGCATGTGTGTATGTATGTGTGTATGTATGTATGTATGTATCTATTCGTGTATGCATGTATACATCTATGTATATATGTTGTTCTTTGTGTATGTAATTACATGTATATGCACATGTATATGCGTATGTGTACGTACATGGGGATGTGTCTGTGTATCTGTACGTGTATACATATACACAAACACATGCGTTCTTTCGCGCGGAACCTGTGTTGCAATCCATACACACGTATGTAGCAACCGTGAACTAACGAAAATGTACATGTGGTTATGTATGTATATAACTATATACATATATCATGTGTATATATATATATATACATATATGTATATTCATATGTATATCCGTAGCAGTGTCTCTCAAAATTTCACGAGCTGGTGCTCTCGAATACTATAGGACCTGCAAGGGCAACCCTTCCAAAGTACAAGTTCCTTCCTTCGTGGTCAATCCATTCTTCTTGAAATCCCTAACCCCTAAACCCCCAAGCCCCAAACCCCGATAGCAGAAGCCAGAAAGTTGTAACAGCATTCTTCTCACGCCCTTGAAATAAAGTAAAAGGGGTCCTTGCACTAATCCTCCTAAACCCATGTTCCAACTTTCTGGGATTCGCTGTAGACCGTAAACCCTAACCCCCTAGAGCACGTTAACCCTCAGCCCTCGAAGTCCTAAATCTTAGACCCTCTACAACCTCGAGGGCACCTGCACCCGAGACGCGCTTCTTGCGGTCGAAAGAGCTCCAAAGGAAACTCTTTCGGCTTGGCACAGCCACAACGGCAGGGAGCGGTGTTCGTGGGGGGGGTTGGGTTGTTAGGCTGGTTCTGCTTTTGGGAATTGTGGTGAAAGACGTTCTGGCTTCCGAGAGCAAATTCAGTCAGGTTCTCGATTTCTGGGACAGGCGACAAGAACCATACTTGTGAATCAACGGACCAAGCCTTTGTCCTCCAGAGTCCTAGGTAGTATTAGGGAGACCCCTTAAAGAAACTCCTGCGCCTTTGACCCAGGTCGGAAACCCCACACCCTCCCTGGACCCAAAGACACCTATTCTTCTGTAGGGATCCTCCTTACTATGGTGGCTTCCTTATACCTAGAGTAACCTAGGTACCTGCAAAAAGGGAAAAGTACCTACATGTGTTAAAGTCATATTCTTCTTTTGTGTGACATTGGCTACTCTAGGTACAGTCCTCAAAATGTAGATTCTTTAGGGTCTCCGTCTTGTTTAAGAGTTCGAACATGGCACTGCTGATAAGAAAAACTCGCCAACCTGTGGCCAGCCATCAAAGCCGGATAACCGACTCTCTACACATGTATGCTTGATCGACCGCTAATGTTCTTTCAATGGGTGGAACTTAGGGCATGATCGAGGGTGGGCCCTGAGCTTCTGTTAAGTACTACGGTTGATGAAATATTCTGCACTAGCTTAAGGACCCTAAACTATGGGAATTATGGTGTATTCCTTATTATGGGTGATGCTGGATTTATATCATGCACTGGTTCTTTGAATAGGTGGTATCTAGGGCTACAGTAAACCCCATAAAGTGGGAAATCGGATTTCGAGCAAATAGTGCTGGGATTCCCTATCATTGAGGCCATTGGGTTTCCTACTTTTGAGCTTCTACTCTAAGCCCTAAACCCTAAACCATAGCATCTTCCTAGACCCCCAACTACCCTGTATTGCAGCCCCTAATGACCTCTTAATGAAAAATATTAGGGCCCTTTAAAGGGTACTTGAGGGGTCCTGGTCCTGCGAAGGAACTAAGATCTCTAGAGCTGCGAGGCCTAGGAAACCATTGCTCGCCTCGCAGCGTTGAAGGACTGGGTGGCAATACTACAAACCCCTAAACCTTAAATTCGGATCTTTAGGGTCAGGGGTCTAAACCCTTAAACCCTAAATTAGGATCTCTCGTGCAGTTCTTGCTGTGTAAAGTGATGTAGCTGTAGTAGGCGATAACACTCAAGATCAGAATGTTGACATGGACCCCTGCACACAGATCCAGTGTACTAGGCTTGCAAGACATTGGCCTAAGCCCCCTTGAAATTTCTTTCAAAGCTGCCGGCGAACAAAACGCTGGCGCGGGTCCATGCAGCCACTGCCGCCGCCAACATCATAGATCTTATCTCTTGTCAGAGAACCTAGAGACTCCAATATGCCATAGTTAAAAAGGAATATGCCATCAATTATAGTCGCATCCCTAATATGATTTAAAGTATATTCCTTAATTAAGGGATATTGGGCTCTCTCTAGTCTCCGGGAAGCCAGCGGCTAGCGAGCGGATAAAGCATAGTCGGTTTAGGGGATCGTGTTCCCTTTGCCGCATGTTTCGAGCACGCATATAAGATCGTGCTAAGCAGATTTGGGCGTCTTGGCTTTGTCCACAACCCCGACAACTGTTTCGTTTTATGGCCTTCAGCCGCTCTTCAACCAAAGCTTGCGCTTGAAAACTGTAGTAAGGATCCGTACATAAACGCACACATATCTCAACCCTAAACCCTACACCACAAAATCTTAATACCTCAAGGTTTTGGAGGTTTCTGATCAGCCAACTGCAACCGGAACATGAATCGACGACGTGGCTGTGGAGCCGAAGTGGTAAGCTGTCTCACGCTCAAGTGGGAGTTTCCGAAAATAAGGGGTCCCTTTAGGGTTCCTGTAAAGGGGGACTATAAGGGTACTCTCAGGGTTCCTTTAAAGGGCTGTATAAATGTTTAGGAGTTTTCCGAAAATGAGGGGGTACCCTATTTTGGGTCCTTATAGTACGGATCCTACTATTTAAGGTACCATATTCGGTTCCCCGATTTTCGGAACTCCCACGTGACACGCTTTCGGGCCTCAGGGCTTCAGAGGTTTAGGGCTTAAAAGGTTAAGAGGGCAATCTCGGTGAACAGCCATAGAATTGAAGTTCTCGTCGATCGCATAATACTGATAGTGATAAGATTAATTAATAAAGATGATAAGCATAATACAAGAATTTTAATATAGTAGTTATGAAATTAGTACGCTTAGCCCTAAACCCTAAGATATGAGTAGGCTTGGGGCCGCAAGAATCCTACCAGGAGCCTGGGCTTGAGTATCGTTGCTCTTTTTCAATAGCAAAAGCGTGGGTGTCGGGAGCCGCGCAAAAGAGGCCAAAACTGTGAGTTATAGGGTTTATTTAGGGCTTAGGGCTCTAGGGTTTAGGGGTTTAGGGTTTAGGGCTTTAGGGTTTAGGTGTTTAGGGTTTAGGGCTTCAGGGTTCAGGTGTTTAGGGGTTTGGGGTTTAGAGCTGAGGTATCGCGGCACTGCTGCGCAGCACCACCACTAAGTGCAGATATCCGGAAGCGTAAACCCGCCTTGCAGTCGCGTAGGCTCATCCGCAGCAGTTGTGCTGCGCCGGCGCTTTGAGCCCATAGGTCCGTTTGCCCATAGGTGATTCAGAGGTGTAAGTGCCTTAGTCTTTGTTGTGTTTTGCCGCTAGACCCAGAGCCGCAATCGCAGAAGAGCCCGCCGAGTCAATCACCCGAGTTCGGCATGTAATGTGCAGTGTCTGTGGCTCAAGCCGTTACGATTTGGCACTCATAAACTTTCTTTCTTTCTGTGCGATGTCCGTCAGCGCGGAGGAAGTGGCAAAGCACAACACCGACAAGGACTGTTGGGTCATCGTCGGTGACCAGGTGTTGGACGTGACCGAGTTCCTGTCCGAGCACCCCGGCGGTAAGAAGAGCATCATGATGTTCGCCGGCAAGGATGCCACTGAGGAGTTCGACATGCTCCATGACCGCAAGGTCATCAAGAAGTACGGCTTGGACGAGGACAGCAGGAAATAGTATTATCATGGTATGTCGCTGACATGACGCATGCAAAACAACATGTGTTCACTGTAATGCTTCTTGGCCCCCGTGAAAACTCCTCATGCTTGCGTGCAAGCTAACACGTATCCTCCAGCTTTCCCGACCGAGAGCAAAACACAGCCCACCCCGGAGGGCACCGTGGTGTTGAAGGGCACCATCAAGAAGTGAGGGTTCTAGCAGTTTGAACCCGTTTTGAAGTCCTACAGCAAACGTGGACATACTTGAGCTTGTTTCGTAGCAAGCCTCGACTGCGTTGACAAAAAAGGAGGTTGTGCTTGCACAGTCCAGCTTCGGATTCCTTGATTCCAATCAAACACTCACTAAGCCCCAAAAGCCCAAACGCAAAGCCCTCCGCAAGTGGGCAACACCGTATGACTGCGCATCCGTTTCGTCAGGCTACATGTATCGCATTGATGGGGCCTTGTAGGGTTGGATCCAACAGGGAATGCCTGACTTCATGGGGGTGCAGATCCACTTTTGCCTGATGCCCCAACCCCTCATCTAAGCAGTGTAATCCCCAAGGGTCACTCTCCAAGCAGGTACTGGGGGAAATATAGGCGTGTTAATAAGTAATTACCCAGACTATTTTGGAGGTTCCTTATCATATTTGTAGTAGAATATACCCCAAAACCTTATTCTAACTAGTAAAGCACCTATGTTAATTGATCTTTTCGGATCATGACCTGCTCGATCGGTCGGACAGCTTTCTAATTCAGCGGCCACTCGTCAAGAGCCCGAGGCTCTTATGATTTCCCCAGTGCTCCAAATTGCCCAAAGTAGATACTACGGTTGATGATATAAATCCTGCATGACCCATAATAGGGAATATACCGTAATTCCCATAGTTTAGGGTCCTTAAGGCCATGCAGGATTTATATCATCAACCGTATTTGTAGACTTTAGACTCCAGAGTCGGCACTACTTGTATACATGGAGCTAAGCCCTAAACCCTAAACCCCTAATCCCTAAACCCCAAACCCCTAAACCCCGAAGCCCTACACCCGGGTTTAACCCCCGGATCAGAAGCCTGAGCCCTGAAAACAATATCAGGTCGCACTGCGAGCATACGAAGATTCTAGCAGAGAGAGCCCGGATCTGTTCGGTGCTGAAAATCCCAAGTCCCAATCACCAAGCCCCCAGCCCCATATGTGTTTTTTGACCGGGCTTTGCGATGGCCACGCTGATAAGACTTGCAGCTGTAAGAGTCAGCAAGTATGGTAGCCCTACATAAGTGCACCAAAAAGGGCCCACTGCAAGAGTGGTACTGCAGCGCTGCACAGCACCATCACGAAGTGAAGAGATCGGAAGCGTAAACCCGCCTTGCAGTCGCGTAGGCTCATCCGCAGCAGTTGTGCTGCGCCGGCGCTTTGAGCCCATAGGTCCGTTTGCCCATAGGTGATTCAGAGGTGTAAGTGCCTTAGTCTTTGTTGTGCTTTGCCGCTAGACCCCGAGCCGCAATCGCAGAAGAGCCCGCCGAGTCAATCACCCGAGTTCGGCAAGCAATGCCCAGCAGTGCCGTTGGTGTGCAGTGTCTGTGGCTCAAGCCGTTACGATTTGGCGCTCATACACTGTCTTTCTTTCTGTGCGATGTCCGTCAGCGCGGAGGAAGTGGCAAAGCACAACACCGACAAGGACTGTTGGGTCATCGTCGGTGACCAGGTGTTGGACGTGACTGAGTTCCTGTCCGAGCACCCCGGCGGTAAGAAGAGCATCATGATGTTCGCCGGCAAGGATGCCACTGAGGAGTTCGACATGCTCCATGACCGCAAGGTCATCAAGAAGTACGGCTTGGACGAGGACAGCAGGAAATAGTATTATCATGGTATGTCGCTGACATGACGCATGCAAAACAACATGTGTTCACTGTAATGTTTCTTGGCCCCTCTGAAAACTCCTCTTGCTTGCATGCAAGCTGACACATGTCTTCCAGCTTTCCCGACCGAGAGCAAAACACAGCCCACCCCGGAGGGCACCGTGGTGTTGAAGGGCACCATCAAGAAGTGAGGGTTCTAGCAGTTTGAACCCATTTTGAAGTCCTACAGCAAACGTGGACATACTTGAGCTTGTTTCGTAGCAAGCCTCGACTGCGTTGACAAAAAAGGAGGTTGTGCTTGCACAGTCCAGCTTCGGATTCCTTGATTCCAAATAAGCACCCAAATATAGGGGCCTCAAAAATTACCTAGAATATTTTGGTGGTTCCTTATTGTATGAAAAGTATAACCCCTTATAGGAGCCCTTTAAAGGAACCCCTATTTAATTATTCAGGCCCACAGGCCCTGATCCCCACGAGAGCCAAAAGCAAAGCCCCAAGCTTGCAGGCAACTCCATGCAGTTTAAAGGCCGAAAGTCGTTTCTAAATGTAAGGTCCTACAAACAGCTTAATGGTTCCTATATCCTGCCAGGATATACGCCAAAACTGGGATCGAGTTTTCAAAGCCCCATTTCATTTTTGAAGTGGCGCTTTGGTTTGTGGACTCAGCAGAGCCTTAGTTCCCCAATACCGAACCTTTCAGCTTATTGGGCTCTTATGGTTTCTTAGTAATCGGAACTTTTAATCGTCCTTTTCTGTGGCTTCTTCTTACTTTTGGCTAGTAGGGAATGGAGGAACGGAATGGGGTACAATTATAACAAGTATAGCTACTAGTACTACCATTCTTCCATTCCCTACTAACCAAAGGTAAGTCTTGGGGAAGAAAGGAGCATGTCAGTGACCCACGGAAGCTGCGGACCTATCTGTGCCTTGTTTGTTCACTCCCCGCTCGGCCGGAAAGCTGTCCAAAGTGGCTTAAGGTCTACACATGAGTCTAAAGCCTGTCTCCCCGGTCGCAACCCTGAGAGCCTTGAGCTCTTAAGGCACAATCGGATCGGATAGAGTTGTCAGCGCACCGAAAGCTTACGATGGAGCTGTAACGCCTGCTTGAGCCAGACTCACTGAAGTCCTTAAAATTTCGACTCCTAAACCCTAAACCCAGAAGCTCTCAAAGCTCCAAAGCCGTCAAAGCGCCACGAAGCATGAGATCACCTGCATGCCAGCTTGATCCTGAGACTACTATGGCTACGTTGATGATATAAATCCGAGGGTCCCTTCAAAGGGATCTATAGGGGTACCTTTAAGGGGTTCCTTGAAGGAATCTATAGGGGTTTAGGGTTTAGGATGAGGATATAAATCCTGCATTACCTAAAGGACCCTCAACTATGGGAATCATGGCATATTTCTTATGACGGGGTAATGTGGGATTTATATCATCAAAAGCAGGACAGGCTTCGCTTAGGTTGAGAAAGGATATGGATGGACTGTGTCGGGCTCAGTATGGATGGAATATGGGGTGGCAGGGCTCCAGGTCACGATGCGTCATGGGGTTGCGGTATGTGGTACCTAAGAAGCATCTTCCGGCTTTTAACATCCTACCATATGAGATTATGCAGGTTGGGCCACTAGCGTCAAGACTTAGGCCTTGCGCAAAGTCCCTCCTGCATTGAAAAGGGGGAATGAAGGCCCGTTTGGGTTCTTTAGAAATTCTATTATAATATATTCCAAGCACGGACACCATTACAGCGCATAGCATGGCCGTCTGACTGAGAACGACAGGTTGGGGCTGGTCTTCTCCATGCTACGTTAGCCACCATGCCCAGCAAGAGCCAAAGCAGCTATGCAACCCTAAGGGTCAATACAACCACATGGGAGTTTCCGAAAATTGGGGGTACCTTATTTGAAGACCCGTATAACAAGAATCCTACTAATTAGGGTACTATAGATTAGGGTCCCCCATTATTGGAAACTCCCATATAGCGCCATGGCCACATGGCTTGAGGTACGCCTTTGAGGCCCAAGTCCCATTCGCATCATTCTCTTGGAAGTCAAGTTTAGTAGCGTCTAGCCGTTTAGCGTTCAGGGTTGAACAATGGAGAGGGCAACAATGTCGGGATGCTCACGATAGTAGAGCAGATGAACGCAAAGAAAGGGAAGCAGCAACATACCGCTTGAGGGAAAAGGCAGTGGTGTCAAAATTGTTGGGACAGGACTCCGAGAGTTTTTATTTTTATTTAGTTATTATTCTGAGTGAGTAAAAAATCCGGATGTTCATCGGTAGCCTTCTACTGGTATGATATTTCATGATATTTGGGCTGCCTCCACTGGAACTTCCGCCGAGGTTTCGATGGCTGTAACAGTCGACGCGACGCTGGCCGAGGCTCCCCAGTCAGACAGCGCACAGTGGTGGGCTAGTTTGTGAGTTGTTTGTGGTTGCATGCTTGCTGGAATTGCTCTTCCCTTTAGACGGGCAACTTGAGAGGCTGATTAGTGCTGGGGCCCACCAGCTCACCAAACAACAACAAGTTATGCAATAGTGTGTTTTGTCGATGAAGGGACAGGTAGCGGGGGAAGCCTACGCTATGCCCGCGCCGGGCGGAAGTAGGAGTATAGTGCAGAAATCTAGCCATTGGGTATCATTCCCTAATTGTCCATGTACCCAGATAGTATCTACTTTGGCCTGAAAGTAGTCCCTATATAGGTACTTTGGGCCGAAGTATATACTATTTGGGTACATGGACCCATAGGGATTGGGTACTAGGGTTTTAGTAGGGTTCCCGAAAGCCTTTCCATTGTTGGCCAGCCGGACTCCCGCCTTACAGAATTAATGGGCTGGCATCCCCTGCAAAGGCGGTTTAGGAACGGTTGATGATGTAAATCCTGCATTACCTTAATGACCCTATATATGGGAAATATATGGAAATATGGTATGTTCCTTTATATGGGTAATGCAGGGTTTACATCATCAGTTCATCAACCGAAGGATATCCTTTACCGAGAGGCTCCATGTATCCATATAGTATATGCTTAAGCCTTAGAGTACCTATACAGGGACACCTTTAAGGCGTAGGTATCTACTATAAAGGTACATGGGGCCTTTGGGTAATCAAGGAATACACCTTAAATCGTATTAGGGATCCTACTATGGTTTAGGGATGTTTAGGGTATATTCCTGAATTAATGCATATTGGAGTCTCTGGGGACTTCTGAGCCCAAGCGAGAAGTGCAAGGTAGCGATCCCACCCATAGAAATTGACTGAAGCCTTTGTTTACATGGGGCTCAGGTACACCCATAATTACTGCCCTACCCTGCTTTGAAAAGGGGTCATAACAGGGCCCCTGCACTGACTGTCCGAGTCCACGAAGAACAAGGACACGCGTGTTGAGGAGACTTCATCGGTGATTCTCCGTGGATTTGACACTAGCCCCGTGCTGCATGTCGATCACCGTGTCAGTTGGGTTGCTCAGTGGCAAGACAGCTGCTGTGAACGTAAGGTTGGGTGAAAAGGTTGACATATTGACATGTCGGGCACAGACCGCGCTTGGAGTCGGAAGAGGGCGCCTGTTGGGCTCATCTGGAAGTGTTCTGGACAGAAATGCAGCAATCGAAGCTTGCACTCTGCGACACGGTGACTCACTGATTCTGCACATCAACATGGTTCAAGCATGTGGCTCCGAGCGTGCTTTTTGCACTGTTCTTGGAGATGGATCCGCAGTGACCTGGGGTGATGCCCACTTTGGTGGTGACAGTACGGCTGTGCGAGACCAGCTAAAGAACGTGCAGGAGATACGAGCCACGACAGGCGCGTTTGCTGCCATTATTTCTGACGGATCCCTCGTGACCTGGGGTGATGATGAGTGCGGCGGTAACAGTAGTGCTGTGCAAGATCAGCTGAAGACCGTGCAGCAGATCCGAGCCAATGACAGCGCTTTTGCTGCTATTCTTGGTGATGGATCTGTCGTAACCTGGGGTGATCCTGAGTGCGGTGGAGACAGTATTGCCGTGCGGGATGAGCTCAAGGACGTGCAGGATATCCACTCCTCTTACACGGCTTTTGCTGCCATTCTGGGAGATGGATCCGTAGTTACATGGGGTGATGCTGAGTGTGGTGGTGACTGTGCTGCTGTGCAGGATCAGCTGAAGAATGTGCAACAAATTCGATCCTCTAAGCATGCATTTGCTGCCATTCTTGGCGACGGATCCGTCGTGACTTGGGGAGATGAGACTTTTGGCGGTGACAGCTGTAACGTGCAGGATCAGTTGAAACACGTGAAGCAGATCCAAGCCTCTCACCACTCTTTTGCTGCCATTCTTGAGGATGGATCTGTCGTCACATGGGGTCATGCTGCGCTCGGCGGCGACAGCAGGGCTGTGAGGAATCGGCTGAAGACTGTGCAGGAGATCCAAGCAACTAGAACTGCTTTCGCAGCTATTCTTGGCGATGGATCCGTGGTGACTTGGGGTGATGCTGCACGGGGTGGTGACAGTATTGCTGTAAAGCACCAGCTGACAAATGTGCAGCAGATTCAAGCCTCTGGCAGTGCTTTTGCTGCCATTCTCGGCGATGGCTCTGTCGCGACCTGGGGAGATGCTCGTTTTGGCGGTGACAGCAGTGCCGTGCAGGATCAGTTGAAGAATGTGCAGCAGGTCCACGCCACTGGCACTGCGTTTGCAGCTATTCTTGACGAAGGCTCTGTTGTGACTTGGGGAGATGCGCGTTCTGGCGGTGACTCCAGTGCTGTACAGGATCAGTTGAGGGATGCACAGCTGCAGATGTAGGCCTCTACTGAGGCTCTAGATGAAAGCCTTGATGATAGACAACTCCGCCGGTACCTGGGTGGTGACAGCAGCTCTGTTAGTGACGCCCAGTATGGGCTGAGGAATGTGCGGCAAACTCAAGACGATGCTGTGCAGGACTAGACCCACACCTTCTACCACACTGCCGCCGCCATTCTTGACGATGCCTCCGTCTTGAGCTGAGGTGATGCTGATCGCCCTGGTGAGATTTCTACCGTGCCGAATCAGTTGAAGACTGTGCATCGGATCCATGTTTTCGTTATTGGTTCAGCTGCAGTTCCTGGCGATAGATCCGTGATGACCTTGCGTGTCGGTCGCTGTGGCGGTGGCAGGACCAGCTCAGGCCTGCTGAGAAAATCTGCTTCCGCACCACAGTCTGCAACCTTCAAGATCATG